TCCCAAAGCACCTCATTGAACCCCGTGTGAGAACAACTGGTAAAGGAATTAAATCTGTGGTCAAATTTCCAGTCTTGATCAAATCGTTTCATTTAAGCCATATATGACACTGAGACATTGAGAACATGTCCCGAGCAAGTCTCCGTTCATCGTGTTTAATGAAAATTGACATAGAAAATCACATTATGTAATTTTCTTGTTTTGCATATAGAAATGGATGCATATATAAAGTTTTATTTGCAAGCTTAATGAATTTTTTTTTGTTGTCAATTCGTATAGTCTACGCCTACAAAAAAAACGGGTGTCGGCAGCCGAAACCAATCTGAAAAGTATTATTGAACTCTTGCTGCAGAAACTGTTATAAAAATGCATTGCACATTTTTACAAGATCCTTGAGTCCTTTCCGAACCATATGTGACTTTACACTTTACAAACAAATTTCCAAAATGAAACGAAAAACAGCCCACAATCCCAAGACTGCCATTAGCCTATTAAATTCCAAACACTGTGATCGTGTGCACTGCTACTTGTGGCGTATAATGTAATTAAATTACGAAGGGAAAAAGTCAAATAAGTTCACAACTATCGCCATAACTAAAGCTTATAAATATGAAATAGCACGATGGAATTGCCAATAAAATCATTGCTTAATGGAAGAAGTAATTTGAAAGTGAATATCCAACTGCGCGGGGCGATATGAAACAACTTTCATTCCGTTCAATTCCCTGAGCTCATCCCTCCAAGCTCTAACCCGAATCACAATGAAATTCAATTACCACACCTTTAATTTCTAAACGAGCTGTAATTCACTGAGATAGCTGGATAGCCTATCAAGTTATTGACTTAAACGGTGATCCATTTAGTGTTATAGCTACCGTGAATATAAAACAACATTTTTCATTACTGCCCTCGTTTATTGCAAGCCAGGCCAGTTACACAGCCCAGAGTTGATTGGTTATTAACAGGAATAACAGTATCCTTCACCGAGAACTATTTTACTCTAACAGGGCACATAATAATGCATTAGAACTCCTGCTATCCTAAATCGCATAAACTGAAAATTGGGCTTTTGTGTTAAGTGTTTGTACAGTGAAAAATATCGTTAGAATTGGCAATCGCTTTGATGGAGGAATATTTTTCGGTCGGGAAGGTCTGTTTGATGTAAAAAGCCATGCAGTCGTTGCACAATGCTTCCATATAATACACATCAGCGTTTAAACGGTCGTGAGTGTCTTCGTAAAGAAAACGCCGTTTCATATATCTCGAGTTCGACAAATTGTTCGATTGTCACAAGGGCCCTCATTTTTCGAATTTTTGTCAAGGTTTGTCTCAGGTGGTGATATGTAAAATATATATTGTATTGTTTGACCCAAACGTAAGGTCTTTCTTTGAACAAATACTAATTAGTAATTTTACAATTTGCTGGAGCATACAAAACCAGTTAAATGCCGCTAAAAACATACACGGCACTATAGACGCTAACACAGTGCACCACGGAATGATTTAATTGCTAGTTTTTAGAGAAACCGAATGCTTCAGGATTTGAATGGGGAAATAGCAGTAGCTGGTCTAAATGCCAATGAAAGAGTACAACCAGTCTTGATTATCCACCGGAACAGATTCCATTTGGCGTGAAGGGCAAAATAGCTGTGAAAAGTGAATGAATCGTGCTTCGTATAATTTATATGTTTGCACTCATGTTAAATTCTATGGCTTTTACATCCAACTTTAAAAACCGATTATTTTGCTTGGTTGTAATCGCGTGAACGGCTGTTTCTGGTAAGACTGGATGTGTTCACCCATACAGCTGACACACGATCTCTACCTTTGCATATTGTGGACACCTGGGTACTGCCTTCACACAGGACGGACTCCTGATCACTACCTTCACACAAAAAGGACACCTGATCACCACCTTCACACAGGACGGACACCTGATCACTGCCTTCACACAGGACCGACACCTGATCACTATCTTCATACAAGAAGGACACCTGATCACTGCCTTCATACAGGACGGACACCTGATCTCTACCTTCACACAGGACGGACACTTGATCTCTACCTTGACAAACGACGGACACCTTATCACTATCTTCACATAGGACCGACATCTGATCACGACCTTCACACGGGACCGACACCTGATAAGTACCTTCACACAGGACGGACACCTGATCACTACCTTCACACAGGACGGACACCTGATCTCTACCTTCACACAGGACGAACACCTGATCACTACCTTCACACAGGACGAACACCTGATCACTACCTTCACACAGGACGGACACCGGATCTCTACCTTCACACAAAAAGGACACCTGATCACTATCTTCACACAGGACGAACACCTGATCACTACCTTCACACAGGACCGACACCTGATCACTACATTCACACAGAACGGACACCTGATCTCTACCTTCACACAGGACGAACACCTGATCTCTACCTTCACAAAGGACCGACACCAGATCTCTACCTTTACACAGGACGGACACCAGATCTCTACCCTCACACATGACGAACACCAGATCTCTACCTTCACACAGGATCTCTACCTTCACCCAGGACGGGTACCTGATCACTATCTTCCCCCAGGACGGACACCTGATCACTATCTTCACACACGACGGACACCTGACCTCTACCTTCACACATGACGGACACCTGATCTCTACCTTCACACAGGACGGACACCTGATCACTATCTTCACACAGGACGGACACCAGATCTCTACCTTCAGACATGACGGACACCAGATCACTATCTTCACACAAGAAGGACATATGATCACTACCTTCATACAGGACGGACACCTGATCTCTACCTTCACCCAGGACCGACACTTGATCTCTACCTTCACAAATGACGGACACCTTATCACTATCTTCACACAGGACCGACACCTGATCACTACCTTCACACGGGACCGACACCTGATCACTACCTTCACACAGGACGGACACCTGATCTGTACCTCCACACAGGACGGACACCTGATCACCACCTTCACACAGGACGGACACCTGATCACTGCCTTCACACAGGACCGACACCTGATCACTATCTTCACACAAGAAGGACACCTGATCACTGCCTTCATACAGGACGGACACCGGATCTCTACCTTCACACATGATGGACACCTGGTCACTACCTTCACACATGACGGACACCTGATCTCTGCCTTCACACAGGACGGACGTCTGATCTCTACCTTCACACAGGACCGACACCTGATCACTATCTTCACACAAGAAGGACACCTGATCACTGCCTTCACACATGACGGACACCTGATCTCTACCTTCACACAGGACGGACACCTGATCTCTACCTTCACACAGGACGAACACCAGATCTCTACCTTTACACAGGACGGACACCAGATCTCTACCTTCACACAGGACGGACACCTGATCACTATCTTCACCCAGGACGGACAACTGATCACTATCTTCACACAGGACGGACACCTGATCTCTACCTTCACACAGGACGAACACCAGATCTCTACCTTTACACAGGACGAACACCAGATCTCTGCCTTCACACAGGACGGACACCTGATCTCTATCTTCACACATGACGCACACCTGGCCTCTACCTTTACACAGGACGGACACCTGATCACTATCTTCACACAGGACGGACACCTGATCACTATCTTCACAAACGACGGACACCGGATCTCTACCTTCACACAGGACGAACACCTGACCTCTACCTTCACACAGGACGAACACCTGATCTCTACCTTCATACAGGACGGACACCAGATCTCAAACCTTCACACAGGATGAAGACTGGATCACTACCTTAACACAGGACGGACACCTGATCTCTACCTTCACACAGGACGGACACCTGACCTCTACCTTCACTCAGGACGGACACCTGATCACTATCTTCACACAGGACGAACAGCTGACCTCTACCTTCACACAGGACCGACACTTGATCACTATCTTCACACAGGACGGACACCTGTTCACTATCTTCACACACGACTGACACCGGATCTCTACCTTCACACAGGACAGACACCGGATCTCTACCTTCACACACGACGGACACTTGACCTCTACCGTCACACAGGATGGACACTTGATCTCTACCTTCACATAGGACGGACACCTGATCACTATCTTCACACAGGACGAACACCTGACCTCTACCTTCACACAGGACGGACACCTGACCTCTACCTTTACACAGGACGGACACTTGATCACTATCTTCACACAGGACGGACACCTGATCACTATCTTCACACACGACGGACACCGGATCTCTACCTTTACACAGGACGGACACCTGATCTCTACCTTTACACAGGACGGACACCAGATCACTACCTTAACACAGGACGGACACCTGATCTCTACCTTTACACAGGACGGACACCTGATCTCTACCTTTACACAGGACGGACACCAGATCTCAACCTTCACACAGGACAGACACCTCATCTCTACATTCACGCAGGGAGAACACCTGATCTCTACCTTCACACAGGACGGACACCTGATCACTACCTTCACACAGGAAGGACATCTGATCTCTACCTTCACACAGGACAAACACCTGATCTCTACTTTCCCACATTGTGGACACCTGACTATCACTTTCAAAATACGAATCCTCTCCTACCTTGCAAACAATTTCGTCAATTCAGTACATATAATACGTATTTTCTCATACCAGTACTCCCAAACAAGCCAGCGCTAGAGAATAATTAGTAATATAAAAGCTGCACATATCCAGAAGGTCATTCACGATCTTGTATGCTGGTTTTCGTCGCAGTGAGCTATATAAAGCTATATAACGGCACCATGTAAATAATCTGGTACATTCAAACCAGAGGTTGATATCATGAGCAATGCCCCTAAACCAGGGTACGATTACAGCCAAGCCACCGAGCCCGATTTATATAGTCGCCTCTAAGCAATAGAGTGGGCATAAGGTCCGCTGGGTGTGTAAGATTTGTTACCTGTATTCTATCTTCAGGTAGACTAGTCTTCATGGCTAGAACCTCCCTGGTCTGTACATCGGGATAGTGGGCATCCTTGAACGCCTTCTCCAGCTCCTCAAGCTGATAACTAGTGAAGATTGTCCTGAAATTACATATATTTCAGATGATTAATATGCATCGTATGTCACATCTTCCCAAGGCAAGGGAGACAACTGACTATATAAGTCCAGTTTCCACCCTTGCCGAACGAGGCTGGAATTATGGAGTTACGTTTTGGCTAGACTAACGAGTCCATGCATAGTCCAATGAGATCCGGTCCGTAAACTGCCGTGGAGATTTCGGTCGATGCAGGATTTGCAAAGCATGTGTACCGTCAACGACCGTCAATAGAAATTTTCCAAATCTTTTCATGTTTTTAATCAAGGTGTTCACGTGATTTGATGCACTTCGCAAAGTAAGACCCGTTTTATTTCAATATAGATCTCGATTAGCGATCAGATCGTTTTCATTGGCGCCGCAATTTGGTTTGAAGTTAATGCAAGTGATATGAGAGGGGGAAGATGATTGGACAACAGGAGGGACATAGAAGGGACATAACTCGTAATATCCACTGCTGGCGCTACGATCGAGCCCAGAAATTCCTGCCTAGGTCGGCAAGGATGAAAATTGGACTTTAATAGTCCCTTGGGTCGGGAAGAAGCGTGTGTCAGAATCCACTTTTGGCGTACGCATGGACACCACCCAGCATCCCCGGGATCACTTCATAATACTACCCCAAACAAACCTGCACATACACCCACGCACACACGAAATCGTATGCTGTTTTTAAAATACCAGAGAGTGAATGAGTATAGTTTTACGCCGCTTTTAGCAATATTCCAGCAATATCACGGCGGAAGACACCAGAAACCGGCTCCACACATTGTACCCATGTGGGGAATCGACCTGGGCCGTCGGCGTGACGAGCGAACGCTTTTACCACTGGGCTACCCCACCACCCGTTATTGAAATAACATCGGATGTAAGCGAGGTAGATGGGTTTTTTTCATTTTTATGGGGTTTTCTCTTGCGGCCATCTGGTAATACGTATGTTTGATGTAAATCTCACAAACACCGCTCAATTTGACTGCTATAATTAAATGGCGCTCCCATCAACACAAAGGTAACGTGTCACGCCATGCACTAATGAACCAGACCGCCTCCGTGGTCTTGTGGTAGAGCGTCCGCCCGGAGAGCGGAAGGTCCAGGGTTCGATCCAGGGCCGCGTCATACAAAAAGACGTTAAAAGATTGTACTTGTTGTTACCCTGTCTGGCGCTCGGCATTAAGGGGCTAAAACAAGGACTGGTCGGCTCGGAGTCAGTATACTGTGTCTGAGTGGGGTATTCATGTTAAACTGCGGCATGGTATCTCAGTGAGCTAGCACTATAAATCGGCATCAGTCCGGACTAGTACAAGCAGCCACACACACACATACACGTGCATGCACGTCGCTATATAAGTGCAATAATCTTGCACGCGACGTTAAACCCAATTTCACCTCACCTCACTAAATACACCTATAGATATCAGAAGAGCGTCATATGAGCCTTGCTCAAAACGTGTTTGATCTGGGTTATAACACCCAAGGCCTTAGTAAAGCATTCAAAATAGTTAATGGTAGACATGTGGAGGACATTTCAAAATTTGACGCTTCAGTGACAAACATTACGTCCGATGCAATGAGATTATTTATTCCAGTCTCATCTCAGATATAATACAATTCAAATAAAATAAAATACAATTTGATAAAGTGAAATGATTTGATATTGGAATGTCGTTCGTGAAATAAGATACTATTTTGACCACATGTTTACGTGTTTGTGCAGGGGACCATTTGACTTGCCTTTGCATGTGTTTATGACGGGCACCATCTTTTGGGCGATTCATAAACATGTTTATTATATAGTCGGAATCGTACAATAGACCGCTTTAAGCAAAGTTTTCTGATTATTTTTCAAATGGTTTTGTCGCTTTAATATATATGGAGAAAATGTACGGCGAAGCCCCGCTAGGCTGGAAATGGGAACAAATATCAGGAATATTTATAAATTTACATAGTAAGCCCCCAACTTCCAATATCAGATATAGCTCAGTACCTTTCTTGACACACTTTAAAGTATAGTATAGGTTATTATCCTCCGCCACGAAGTGGAAGGGGGATATAGGAATGGGTCCTGTCCGTCATGTATCGTTTCCGGGGCAGAAAAAAAACCAAAAAAAACTAAAAAATCATTTGATATATCTTTACCAAACATGGCACATAGATAGGTCTAGTGGCGAACTGGTGCCTTTTGATAATTCGGGATTTTCGAAAAAAAAAATAATTTTCGTTTCCGTGGCATCGGCTTTGACTTAGGCTGAAAATGGCGGTATTGGCGGGGGATATGAGTATTTCATGCTTGTTTTGAGCTATTATATCAACTTGAAATGCACACCGAATCATGGAGCGTAGCCCCTTTAAGAGAGAATGAGAGGGATTTACGCCGCTTTCAACTGGTATTTTAGTTATATCACGGCGCATCAGTTTAATCAGGGTGCTGTAAAATGAGGTCGCTGATAAATGTTCACTACTTGGTGAAACAAGCACGGTATAGTGATGACATACCAAGATCAGCGGATCCGGACACAGATAAAGGACACAACTCTGCAAGACAGCTCGAGCTCGTCTTTGATCAGTACGTTCACCGTATTCCCACAGATTTAAAGTAAATTAGTTGGTATCGAATTGAATGAGTTGTTTACAATGACAAAAGCAAGTTTGGGGTAACAATGTTCGCCTCATTAAGCGTGACATATAGAAAATGCAAACTGTGAGTGTTCCAGCAAAAACACTGTATTGATAAAGTTGTAACATGGACGTGGATCGTTCATTACGTACTTGATCAACGTTCAGGAAACTTGTTCCCAACAGCAAGAGACCGACAAATGTATCAACTCACATTACACTTCATCGATCCGTACAACGATTAAAAATACTACACTTAATACCACCAATTATCTCAATTAGCTAATGATGTATTTCTACCAACAATAGAACTATAAAGGGTTTTGAATAAACTAAATCGATTGTTTGAAGCAACTATGTAGGCCAACGAGTGACATGAGACACTGTTTGTGATATGGTATGTAGTCTGAAATGTATTGGAATCAATACCTCAAAATAGAGGTATTCCGGCTTATGCGGGATAAAACAAATAAAAACCGTGATTTATTTTAATGTGTGTTTAAACCTGTACTGATTAAACTAAATTAGAGTTAGTTGCATTTCATGTGATTTTCAGGCGCTAAATAAAAGTGATCAAGCATTTTAAAATGAAACGAATGGTTCAACAGTGACGTCACTAATGACGTCATCTTGGGATCGTGAGGCTTCGTAAATTGATTTTCATTGTATTTTCAATAAACATCATATCATGTCAACAAAATAATAATCTTTCAACAAATTGTTTTGCACTTTGAAATATAACTCCAAACATTTGCCAATCGGACCGAACGTTTATTAATAAACATACATTGATAACTACAGCTGGGATTACCGACAGCGACATATCGATGCTTTAACTAACATTTTCTCCATATAAAGCAGTCTTCTGATCTATTCACTTTGCATGGCAGCGTTGACAGTATAAGTGTCTGCATAGCATCAGAATGCTCTTGACGAAAAGGTGCAGAAGAGTATCTGCCGTCGACGCAAACATAGAGAAAAGGAATTATTCAGTGCGACTTTCACAGTGACAGGCACTAAAGTCCTATCTCGATTAATAAACAACCTTCTCTCTATTCGACAGTTGTGAAAGTTATTGCTCTCTGAAGTGAGCACTAACATTTTGCTGCCTCAAGAGATATCTTAGCTATGTCACCTTATGTTGAAGAAGATGATGATAATATTAATAATACTTATAATCATCATCATCTATAATTGACTCCAAGGATTGTTCCCCCAACGAAGCAATTATCATACGGAAGATAACACTGTGGCAATTAAGTTTGTCAGCCATAAATAACTTATACTGAGTGGCAAAAGAAACTGTACTTCTCAGTAGATTTTATTTTTTAAAAATCTTTCCGATTTATAATAACTTAAATTTGCGATAAAAATTATATCAAAAACATTAATTGTACTGTCGCTTAGTCAGCACTCAGTCATCTTTATGGTTTTACTTTTTTTAAACATATTTTAAATTAAAACTTTTCAAAAATTAAAATCAAAATAGCATAAAGCACAACTTCTGAAGAGTATCTTAGACATGTTATCTTTGAAAATCAATAAATCTGCTTTCTTCGGCACACATCTGCAACATTTGAAACACGGTAGGGGTCATGTGTTTGCTGATTAATTTCTTTCCCCAGTTTTCAATGAACAAATTTAGTTTTTCACAAAATTACCCAGCCACTGATTACTTTTTAGAAACTGATGAAGACTGAGTGATGGTTAAATGAGCATAATCAAAATTTAACAACAGCTCTTTCAATTTTCAATTACATTAAAAAACAACTCGGTGTACTTTCTTTTTCCCCTTGGTGTTTATTGACCTTTAAAGTACAAGGACTGATCGAAATGTGAACTTACATAACATACGAACATTTCAGTACTACGAATACGGAGTTTAATACGGTTTCTAAAACAACCAGGAAGTAAATGTTATACGTCACACGAAAGCCATTCCGAGATATTAGCGCGTTTCAATAAACACTTCAACACAATTACAAAGCTTGAAGTATCAATGTCACATTACTTCTTTGTAAAAATAATGGACGTTTACCGGTAAGCCAATATCTATCTGTAGCGCATTCCATTCAAAACGTTATTTGAATTTTAGTCAGTTATGATTAAAATGTAATAATTGGTCCGTTACGGGAATTCGTTTGAAACCGAACCCCCACCCTGACACATTGGTAATTGTGAGTTCTGTAAATATGCTCCCGTATTATTTTCAAAAGGAAGTCGGGGTTGTAAACAACAGATAGCATTGCGCGGTCACGCAGAGTGTTCTATTTCCAGAAACTGAACAAAATAAATCTTTTCCGGCGCATGCATATCGTTACAAGCCGGATAATGCATTTTAGTCGTGTTTCCTGTTGAATGGGCACTGTGTGCTCT